GTGGGTGGTAAGGGAGGGGGTGGGGGCAGGGGGGAGAAATGAACCAAGCCTTGTATGCACATATGAATAATAAAAGAAAAATGAAAAAAAAATGCTGAGGGGCTGCCTTTTGGGGGGGACCTCAACGTCAGGAGGCAGGTAGACAGGATCCCATCAGCCCAGACAAGGGGACGCATTTTGACGGATGACAGGACCCTAAGCCTGTCCATGGGCTGGTGCCACGGTGGTGGTGTGGAGGCAGAAGTCAGGCTGGTACTGCCCGGCTTTATTTCCCAGTCTGGTCATGGGGTGTATGTAGAAGACGGCCTGGGGTTTCCCTGCAGTTGAAGAAGAAGTGAGTTTATAATATGTTGCCAAGAATAAAAACAGACCTGGAAATAACGTGGGCACGTCTGTTGCTTCCTCATAACAAACAACTGCTCTGTGCTCAGAGCTGCCAACCTGCAAGGGTCACGGGCCCATTTTAGAGACCAAGAGAGCTCAGCTGACCAGTTTGCTTAGGAAGTGCTGCTGCCAGAGCACGCCAGAACTGAAGTCAGGCCTTGAGCCTGGGCAGCTTCTCTTGTGAGCCCAGCAGAGTCCCATGGTAGAGGAAAGGGACTGGCTTGGTGGCAGTGTGTGTGCACAGCTCCAGAGCCAAGACTTCTGTTGTACTGTGCTGTTCCATTCCGATTCTGTGTCTTGTTTTACTGGATCCTGTGAGCTGTCACAGGTCTGAAGGGTCACAGTCACAGGGAAGCTGTGGATAGGAGGCAGCAGGCTGCAGGGATGATATCGGGGTGGTTTTGTAAGGAGGTGTGGGTTTTATCTGCCCATGGACTTCTCCCCTGGTGCTGAGTGTGTTGGTGGAGGGGGAGGAGGAGCCCACGCAGAGCCGAGCCCAGCCCCACAGAGCTGGGAGCCACTGGGCCGCTGAATCCCTCCCAAAGTCAGGAGCACGCTGTGACCCTTGGCTGTGACCGCCCACCTATGAAATTGGCAGGGTGGGCAAGGCATCCTCTGGAACCATGGCCCTGCAATGCTATTTTGTGTTGGGGGTAATGTGGGGAGAGACAGAAGTGACAGCCCTTACCGAGCATCTGGTGGCTTCTCATTTGCATTGTTTGTGTGGGGTCCCAGCTGCTGTCTGGGTGCTGGGCCACCCCATCCGTTAGGTGAGCCTCAGGCTTGTGACGTGTCGCTGCTGAACCCACCTCAGCATCTTGTTCAGTGTGGGTTTGGTTCCTCCTGGTGACAAAGCAGGGACCACAGCGCCCTCTCTCGGCAGGACTTGGGAGTGCTTCCTCACAGTGGCGGTGACCAGGCAGCACCGGACCTGTCCTGGGGTTTCACAGTGAGGTTTGCTTCTGTCCCTGCTCTGGCGCTCTTCAGTTCACTTTGGTAAGAGGAGGAGCTGCAGAACCTTGTGAGGTGCTGAGCCGGGCGTGGGGCTGCGAGTTAGAGGCCTGTGTGTGGTGGGGTACACTGGAGCCTGGAGGCCTGTCAGGGAAGGAATTGCCCCACGAAGCCATTAGCTTCCATGGAGCATGCTCAACCTTGGCTGCTGAGGAGTTCCTGGTTGGAGTCATGCTGTTCTGTCCTCTGCGGGACTCTTTCTCCTCACTCCTGCCAGCTAAGGTTTTCTAACTGTTGCAGTAGTAGGTGAACAGGTCCCTTGTTCTCTGTGCACAGATCACTTTGGCCATCCAGCCCACCTTGGCTGTCGAGCCCCGTCGGTCAGGCTTGTGTGTTCTTGGTCCTTGCTCACAGTCTGGTGTCACCAAGCCTGTTTGCATGGGGACCATGGTGGTGGCCTTGGCTGCTTTTTATGTGTGTATAATGAACTCCAATCATTGCCCTTTCTGCCTGCAGCCTGGAATCGTGTCACCATTTAAACGAGTATTCCAAAAAGGTGAAAAGGGTAGAGATAAGAAAGCCCAGGAGAAGGTGACAGAGAGGCGCCCCCTGCACACTGTGGTGCTGTCACTGCCTGAGCGCGTTGAGCCCGACAGACTGCTGAGCGACTATATTGAAAAGGAGGTGAAGGTAAGTGGTCCCAGGCTGCAGGGCTGCCTGTCCAACGTGGTTTGTGAAGCACCTGCATGGAAATACCTTGCCTCTGCTCATAAATCTCGTGATAACCTGAGACCCCAGACCCAGGCTCTTGTCCCTCATCCCAGCTTCTGGTTCTTCCTGCAGTAGCGTGCCACCTCCTGTCTCTCCCTCAAAGGCCTAATCATGGGTAGCGTGTCCTGCTTACCAGAAGAGAGTCACAGAGCTGGAGGAAAATCCACATCTCCTCCAGCAGCTTGCAGATGACAGCTTGGTTGAGGTCCTGGGGCCATTATGTGTGCCATGGTCACTGTCCCAGACCTGGGTTCTCGGACCAAGGGCTTTGAGTCTCAAAGGCCTGTACCCAAGAGACTGTGTATAAGCCATGTGGTCAAAACGTAGGGGACAGGAGACAGGTCTTGAGGGACATAAGCAGGAAGAAGGAAGCTGAGTAGGATAAGGGAACTGAGTTAGTATACACCACAGAAGACAGTCCACGAATCAGGAGGAGTGGGGGCTGTCTAAGTACCTATGGCAGGGACTCTCCCACCTTGTCCCCACTGGCTCATGGGCCTGGCCCAGGAAGTGTGTGAGTGACCCTGGGTGAAATCAGGAAGCTAAGTCATTATGCGTCATGAGGACGCCTGGCCATTTTCTCCATGAGGCTTCTGAGACCTGCAGCTGGGCCTCTCCCCCAAGGGTTCTGTGGAGGGCTGCTCAGTGCAGAAGCTAAGGGGCTCCGAGGCTCCCACTCATCCAGTGTGACTGAGGCCCAGCAGTCAGTGACACTGCCCACACAGCTTTGCCAGCTTGTCAGAGTTAAGGATACAATACGTTTGAGAAAGATGTTTAACTCAAAGACACAGCTCAAGAAAAACGAACAGAAACCCCACAAATGTGAGTGCAACAGCCACAGTGCAGAACACAGGGAGAAGGTATGACAACACAGTCATGCTCCCTTAGCACTGCAATTGTGCTCTGAGGAATGTGTTGCCTGGCAACTCTGTGGCTGTGAACCACAGCACATAGCTCGCAAACCTAGTGGTGTCAACCAGTAACACAGGTGGGCAAGGCTGTGTTGTTTTAGTGATGGAAATGTGGCAGAGTAGCACAGTGTACACAGTCAGTACCCGTCATTTACCAAGGTTACTGAGTGTTGTAACTCGGTGTATGTGATGTTGTGTGCTGTGCTTATACGGCTGGCAGTGCTGGAGGCTTCTTCACACAGGCAGTGCCCTGTGAGGTTAGGTCGGCCGCAGAGTCACGAGGCAATGGGAGTTTTCATCCCCATCCCAGTCTCATGGGCTGCAGTGGGACGTGTGGTCTGTCTTTGACCAAATCACCTCTATGCAGTGTGTATATGATATCTCAAAGAGATAAAGGTGTTATTAATGAAATCAGAGGATTCCTTCTTTTTTTGGTTGGGGGGGACTGGGATTTGAACTCAGGGCTTCTCACTTACAAAGTAGGTGCTCTACCACTTGAGCCACACTTCCAGTCCTTATTTTGCTCTGGTTATTTTGGAGATGAGGTCTCGAGAACTACTTTCCTGGACTGACCTTGAACCTCGATCATTCCAATCTCAGCTTCCTAAGAAGATTACAGATGTGAGCCACCAATACCCAGTAGGATTCTACTTTTAAATAAATAAAAAAATGGGGGTGGCTGGAGGTGGAGCTCAGTGGTAAAGCATGTGGTGAGCATGAGGACCTTGGGTTCAATCCCCAGTACCACATAGAGAAAAGAAAAGGCGAAGGGAAGAGCAGACTTGCTCATTCTCTTAAAAAATTTAGTAGAGGGCTTGAAAACATAAAAATCAACAACAACAAAAAATCTCCCAGAAAGAATAACCAAAAGACAGACTGAACCATTAAAAAAAAAAGGAAGAAACAATGAGAGGCTCAACTGAGATGACTGCACGTCTCACTCAGGAGGAAACTGTTAAAACAGTAAAGCAAAAACGGCTGGGGTGTGGCTCAGTGGTAGGCACTTGTCTAGCATGTGTGAAAGTAGAAAAAAATGAGTCTGCAGGAGGGACTGACAGACACGGTTCTACGCTGACAGGATCCTGTCACAGAGACTAAATCAGTCACCTTTTTGAACCCGAGTGTGCAGGAGGCTATTCTAAGTTCAAAATAAAGGGCATGCAAAGAAGGAGGAAGACATGGGTTCACAGCACTGGGCTCTAACAGAGAAATGAGGGCAGGTAATACCCGCGATGACAGAAAAGTGGCCCGTGCCTGTAGTCTCAGCTACTCAGGAGACTGGCAGAAGAGTCACTTGAGCCCTGGAGTGTGAGGACAGTCTGAGCAATGTAAGGAGATCCTGTCTTAAGAAAGAGCTGTTCATAGCCAGGTACTGGTGGCTCACGCCTGTAATCCTAGCCACTTAGGAGGCAGAGATCAGGAGGATTGCGGTTCGAAGCCAGCCCAGGCAAATAGTTCAGGAGACCCTATCTCAAAAATACCCATCACAGAAAATGGCTGGTGGAGTGGCTCCAGGTGTAGGCCCTGAATACAAGCCCAATACTGCAAAAAACAAAGAAAGCTGTTCATGACAAGACTGCAGTTTCATGATGACTTGGCAATGCAGTGAAGTAGAATATCTGAGACAAAACAGTAGGTAGTAAGTAGTGAGTAACGGAAAATTATATTGTAAGGAAAAAGGGGCTGTGGGAGTAGTGATGTAACTAAAAGTTGGGAGGTAAAGTTTTAAAATGATATGTTGGGTAACAGTAACACAAACACATTATTTAAAAGAGTGCCCTGGATGCCAGAAGGAACAGGCCTTGATGTGACCATCTGTGGGAAGGTGTTCATAGGATTGGACCATTTGCCTTTTTTTTTTTTTGGGCAGTATGGGATTTGAACTTGGCTCTGTGCTTTCCAGGCAGGCGCTCTACCACTTGAGCCCCGCCCCTGTTTGCCTTTTGGTAAAATAAAAATAGTGACAACAGGAAATCTCCCGGTGAGGGGACAGTGTCTACTCCCCCCACTCCAGTGGTTCTTCCTGGGAAGTTTTGTGTTTGGGATGAACATTGGTAATTAGAATGCTGTTTGATCCCCACAGAGCCTGAGTGAAGTGGACACTGGCCCTCCCGTTTTCCATCACCAGCCAGAGTTGGCTCAGGAGGTTTGGTGGGGCCAGCCAACGGTAGCCGACTGGAGCCTGGTGACCGTCAGCAGACACCATGACCAAGTCTGCTGTGTGGCTTTAATTCTGAGAGAGGACTCAGACTCCTGTCTGTGATGTGAAACTCAAGCAGCTTTTGGTTAGTGTTAAAATTTTTCTTTTTTGAGACAGGGTCTCCAATGCAGCCCTGGCTGGCCTGGAGTCCTCAATCCTCCATCTTCCTGCCTCCACCTCCTGAAGGCTGGGATTGCAGGGACTGGGCCAGCACGCCCTGGTTTATTTAAAAATTTAAAATTGAGTATGGCCCCTCTGGAAGGAGTCCTTGACACTAGTTTTTGGTGTGTCCAAAAACTACACAAGCACACACATGCGTTGACTTCCACAGTTACTTCATGGTGTAGGTTGTGTGCTCCTTGCTTTTTCATTTTTTTAGAATTTTTTTTTGGCAACGTTGGGATTTGAACTCAGGGCCTCACACTGGCTAGGCAAGTGCTCCACCACTTGAACCACTCCACCAGCCCTTTTTGGTAATGGGTATTTTCAAGATAGGGTCTTTTTTTTTTTTGCTTTTTGTAAGTTCATTTACTACTTTAAAGCTTTAACTATTTAGCAGTTACAGGAAATAATACTAGGCCAAAAAGAAAAATATGTGCATTTCAAATACAAAATATTTAAAATTACTCTTGGTCAATATCTAAAAGCCACTCCTCACATGCTCACGACTTCATTACCAATTCATTGTAAGTATTCAGCACATGTACCTGTGCACTTACTAAGCATTTATTTGCACTTGTATTTTCTCTGTTAGGTTTACTCTCTAATTAGCCTCTTTTAGAAAGCTACTTGAATTTGTCCAAGGAGTCCCAAGTTTTTTGGAAAACCAATGGCGCTACACTGTTTCCAGATCTACCTCCAAAGCTGAACTTGGGTGTTGACAGCTCTTTGAAAAGTTCAAATCCTTCACTGAATTCATTTAGAAACTCTTCCTTGGCCCAATTACATGAGTGTATTAGGAAGAAGATTTTGCTACCAACACCCTGGAGAGAGATTTCATCTATTGCCTCCTCTTCTCAAGTGCATTGTCAGGATTAGGGCTGATGGCATCAAAAGTCCCTTTGTCAATACAAATACGAAATCCAGACAGCTTTGTGGAGAGATTCAAAAAGTCTTCTATCTTTACCTTCGTGTTTGATAGTTCTTCTTTCTCTGTAATGCTTCCAGAAAGCTGAATTGCAGAAGGAGAATAAGCAATTCCATAATATTAGAGAAACCAAATTTTGCCAGATCTCTCCCATATCTCCACATTCTTGGAAAGTCTGCAGCTCTCTCTCACAGACAGCATTCCAATGCTCTTGGGTCCCCAGAACCAAAGGGACAAAGCCATCCTAAGCGGGACTCCCTTCTCAGGACCACTCCATGGCCACAGTGCCACTGCCGGTGTCGGCACCCGCCGAGATAAGAGTCTTGAGAGCTATGTACCCGGGCTGACTTTGAACCATGATCCTCCTGGTCTCTGCCTCCCAAGTAGCTGGGATTACAGGCGTGAGCCATGGGCACCTAGTTACTTTATTTTTTTGGATAGTGCCTCAATGTTTTTGCCTGGGGTCATCCTCAGACTGGGATCCTCTTGTCTATGCCTCCTGTGTATCAGGGGTCACGAGTAAGCACCACCACTGCCTGGTTTATTGAGATGGGGGTCTCGCTAATTTTTTGCCAGGGTTGCCTCAAACTGTGATCCTCCCAGTCTCCACCTCCCGAGGATTGAAGTTTTCTTTAGAAGTCAGGTTGAGGGTCCTGTCATGTGGTCGAGTCAGATCTCTCTTGACTGCCTCTGCACATCTGCCATCCTTCCTTCCTTGGGT